ATGAAACACATTGTTACATAGACCTATTAAAAAATTAAAGACCATAATACACTAGATTGTGCGTGAGAAATCCATCTGAATTTTGTAATGAAATTTAACCACTATACTCTTCTTGGTAATAAGCTTAAATCTGATTTTCTTGTCATCTTTGATAAGGCCTTTGATAAAACAGAAAAAAGAAAAAACAAATTTGTAAAATGCTCTTTGTTATGCTGTTTGTAAATGTGCTCTTTGCAATTAAATCTGTGTAATTATTTTTATTATTGTTTTGATCTCCATAAAAATGCATATTGCAAACTGAAATAATGTCTTAGGGCAATTAAGATTCTAAAGTATTTTAAAAATCTCCTTGATATGTTTTGCCTGCGTGAAAAGACATGACATTGAAGTATACGCCCTGAGAAAAAACACAAATGATTTTTTCCAGTAAAGTGCACAGTAGCAATGGCATATGAGTACACAGAAAAAAAGGTCTGAGTCATTACCTATCTCTGCATGGAATTTATTTACAGAAAAAAGGGTTGTGACCTTGTATTGGATAAAGCGGTTAGAAAATGGATGGGTGGAAGAACAGGTAAGAACAGACTATAAAGATATCGGTGTATAATACAGCCTGTCCAATAAGGTGGTTCTCTACAGATATAAATATGACAGATGGCCACGCTGTGAATGACACGTTTCTTGGGAACCTTATTTGTAAAGAAAAGTGCAACTCAGTGAGACGCAACTCGGGGGTGCAAGAGGAGTCTGGGAGTCTTGAGGATGCCGGAGAAAGGCCACAAGATGGACGGGAAATCCGAAATCCTCCTCATGTCTAACTCGGCAGCCTCACCAGGGGGAAAGGGTGGGTGTTGGGAGCCAGGTGTCGAGGACCCCAACACCCACCATAGGATATTGGTGGCGCTGATGGGCCAGTGATGCCTCAAGTGTTGTTGCAGTTCACAGCCCTGATCAAGATGCCCACTTCACACAAGCGCCAGGCAGTTACCCCATCATTCAGGTCATTCAGGGCTAATGTGTGGGGCTGCAAACAGATTTGAGTGGACCTGTGACTGAGAGGGGGGGGCTAGGAGCAGGAGGAGATGGAACAATGCCTCAGCACACCTGGCCATGCTAGGGATGCCATGTCCTGAAAGAGACCTGGACAGGTGGCTTCCCAGGGGGAGAGAGTCGAGAGAGCTTGTCAAGAAGGCATGAAGAGCCCCAGTCAGGACAGCAGCATGAGGAGACCCCCTGGATGGAGAAAGCGAGGTTGGAGGACAGACTGCAGCAGTCAGCCAGGACGCCAGGGACTGGGCACAGTGAAGGAAGACCACTGCATCGGGTCTCTCCCCCTTCTCCTCGAAACCGGACCAGGAGAAACCTGGTAGAGGGGGCAACACATGTTCAGGATGCCCTCCTGGACTGCTCTAGGAGCAAGCCGTGGGATGTGATCTGTCTAGTGCGTCAGTGCTCATAGGAAGCCTGTGTACAGGTAAGTCCTTATGTGTTAGGGAAGACCACTGTAAAAAAAATGGGATATTGCATATGATCTTTGTCTTGTCTGGTCTGAGGAAGCACTGGCGATTCTGAGAGATTAAAAGAACCTGCGGCAAGGAAGTCAGGGGCCTTGAACACTTTAGAGTTGTTAGGAGGTGCAGCTGTGAACAAGGCAGGAAGAATCCTTGTTTGAGGGGTCACTTGTCTGTGACCTAGGATGACCTTGGTTGCCATGAGAATGCTGGAGCAAGGCTGGAAGACGGATGGGAAATCTGGAATCCTTTGCACGTCATACGGAATGTCAGCCCTGAGGGATGAGTCAGGACTATAGGGTGAAAAAGACGTGCCTTGTCACACTCAGGGGTGCCGGAGACAAAGGGGTGGGTTGCTAATTAGCACTTCCAAAGACTTGCTTTCTAAAGTGAAGAATAACTGCAAATTCCAAAATGCCCATATAAAATCACAGAGGTTTTTGTTTTCTTGCGTTGCTGGCTACATCAACCAAGCAACACACGATCCGCTTCTCACCTGCTGCAAAAAAAATTACAACTTGAAAAGAAGCCTGTAACTCAATTTAAAAAAACAATATCGGAAAAAATGCCATGTTTTATTCAATATGAAACAAAACATCCTATGTTTTATAGACTGTGATAAAAAACAAGGGATTTTTTTCCACAGGTGAGACAAAACTTTATTTCTATTGGTTTACTAATTAAACTTTTAGAATTTAAGGGCTGATATATTTTAGTTAGACTTGTCCACTAGGTACATTAGACAGAAGTTACTTTAACTGCACAAATACTCTTTACTGTTTATTATAGCAGAGGAAACAAAATCGACAATGGCAAAAGCTATATCCTTCACTCAAGCAGTAAAGTGTGGACTTTCTTTCAAACTGAGGTGGCAGATATTGTGCTACAGGGTGGCTAACCATGCATATAGAAAAAGCGCAGTTTAAAAAGGCAATGATAACATACAGTATGATGAAGTTATCAGAGTTCCTGACCTTTCTGTTTTATGCTAAACAAATGAGCTGATGTTGTTAAACTGACCAAATCTGCTCAGTTATGAAAAGAAAATCAATGAAAACTCCATCAGGAGAGACATAAGGAGGACCATAAAAAGCAGGCTATTGAAATTAGCAGGCACACTCAGTCTCTCCACCCTGACATGGGACAAGTGAGGAGCACAAACTGGAATATGTAAATGACCTGCTAAAATGTGTCATCCTGGCTTGATGTTGATTATAAAAGGCACTTCAGTAAATGAAAGCTTTGGCTCGTTTGTTAATTTGACATCAGACACCACTGCTCTAATCGGTGAGGAAAAAAACAAAGACAGAACTCATGTATTTTTGACATTTCCATTTTGTCAAAATCCATTTGATGTCTTTTTTAAAGTTTTTTTCTAAACGGTGTGTGTAGATATCAGGCGTAAGTAGAAAATGGTTAAGTAGGTGGCTGTGTCAGCATGCGTAGGCTGCAAAGGAGCAAGTAAAGGTTTATTCCATTTGAAAAGAGAAGAAAGGAAACAACATTTTGGTTGTGGAGCTTTCTTTGGCCTTCTGACACCCAAAGAAGGCTCCACAGTCAAAACGTTGCATTTCCTTTCTTCTCTTTTCAGTTGGAATAAACCTTTACTTGTTCTAGAAGTAGAAAACGTTTACAATCTGTATTTTTAAGAACACATATAGTACAAGAGAAGAGGCCATTTGGTCCATTTAGCCATTAATGATTTAATGATTAGTCATAGTACTGGAAAACAAAGTACAGATTTACGCTGAGAATAAAATAATCTATTTTATGCTTTAAAAGCTCTTCTGGGCTCCAAGCCCACACTTCCACAACTAGCATCACATCTGTCAAGGTGTCCCAGAGGGTTTGAAATATTTTTTAGAAGTCCAGTTACAGTAACGACTACTATTCTTACACTGCTGTAGGAAAAAACTGTAGCATGTTCTTAACAAAACACAATATAAAGACCACTTCTGAATCTGACACCACAAAATAAAGATGGTGAAGAAGCATTAAAAAACAATATTCTATCAACAGACTTTTTTATCCTTTTTATATTTTATTTAAATTTGGTAAAATCTGATACGATCCCTGTAGATCTGTTTCAGCATTGCACTCCTTCTCTTGAGAGACTTGCAGAAAGGGCATCAGAACAGCTCAGACAAACTACAATCCATGAAAACTGTGGAATGTCCTACCCGTACAACCTCTGGGCACCCGTCGCAGAAATATCAGCCTTAACCTCTGACGCACGAGGCCAAGTTCTGCTGGCACTGGATCTTCTGGTTGTTTTTTTGTGCCAGCTGCTTTACTTTATCTGGATGTAAAGACTGCCCATTTCAATGTGGTGGGACTCCACCACAACAATAACTTTACAAACAAAATGGAAAAAAGGTCTGGACCACACTGCACGGAGCAGACACAATGATACCCTCACTGCTTTAGCCACAGATTTCCATGGTACGAAATACTAGAGACACTGGTAGCGTCTCGTATCTTCTCTTGCTGTGCCACACTATGCTGTCCTACGGCACTGCAGGAGAGCAACAGCTCCGACTCAAGGAGCACATGTGGATGACTCTTGTGGAACTGGATGAATACTGAAAACTGGATGAATGTTTGCTTTTTTTATTTTTTGAGAAGAACATTTTGAAGCCAGCTGTAAGCTGTAACAAGGTTGCTATTTATCTGGCTTTTCACCCTGTGAATCAAACCAATGAAATACTGGAGACCAGAACTGCTGAAAAAGAAAACATTTTCTGCTACTTGTTATCTGAATCATTGAAGCAACATGACAGTTTGGAAAAGTATTTAAGCAAATTAAGCATAGAAGAACAAGAGAACCCACCCTCCATATAAAGAATATTAGCTAAAACTGAGAAAGAAGCTCATCTACCAGTGTGACTGTTTTACCAATAATAATAATATTATTTTAGAATTACTAAGGTCTGTTGTTGATCGATTATAATGTATGCATCAGAAAGATTAAACAGAACTAGACATGCAAGAAAGCATAACAACAACAATAATAACAATAACAATAATAATAATAAATTACCTGGAGTAGACTAAATGTACAAAAAGGTTACAGGAAACCGTGCAGTAACATCTACATTTCAATTCCAGGATACATTATGTAATACTAAGATCATAAATTAAATTATGTAATGTAAACAAAAATAGTTAAAACATTTATTTGTGACAAAGGGCATTAACTACACCTGAACAGACTTGTGTATTATGCAGTGTTGCAGAGTTCCTGAATCACGTGGCACAAATAATAAATAATTCCACAATCAGTCAAGGCAGAATTTCCTGTCAGGAAATTATTTTAATCATTTTTATAAAAGAATATTAACACTGGATATAAGATGTCTGTCAAAAAAAGATTAAGATCTATGTGCATATGTGTTCCATATTTTAAACTACTGGAAGTTAATCCAAACAATATACAGTACAGGATGGTTTCCTGCAACCATAAAATTAAAAGGTATTTTAGCCACTTACCAAAAAACTGACAAAACTTGCTCCAAAACTCATTAATGGGCTGTGGTTCCTATAAGGAAAAAAAAGAGGGGAGAGAGTTTTAAAATCATGATAAGGTAGACAGGAGCTCTTTACAGGATACTGTATTTGTTCTAAATCCATCGAAAGCCTCAAGACCAGTGGCTGGATACCAGATGACCGAATGTTGTAACAACACTTGATTCATGTTCTCCCACTTCTATCAGCATGTCTGTGTGAGCTCTGCAAAGACCCTGCCTCCTTCACAACCAGCCCCTCACTGACATAGTGAGCAACATTACAAAGACAAACCGGTTAGGAGGAAACTAAACACTATCAAACCATTCATTCCTTCATCTTCCAGGTGGAGAAAACACTTGTTCCCAGCCTGCACCTATGAAAAAAGCTTTTTGCGTCAGGAATCACAGATTTTTCTCTTTAAACTAGGCTGACGGGGGAAGCAGAAATCTCACTTACTGTATGTGCAGCAGCATTCTAAAGTGATATTCAACTTTGAAAAAGAAATTAAAAAATCACTAACATAGTGTTTATTACTGGTTAAAAAGCTAAGGTAGAGAAATGTTTTTTTTTTTTATATACTCATTGACTCTCTGTCCTGCGTTCAATAATGCCAAGTGTTCTGCAGTCCGGCTGCATGGGAAGAGCCCAGCTAGCATGCAGTCAGCCTGCATCAGCAGACTGTAGAACTCACTGCAGTGATAGAAACCACGAGTACAGTAAGCAGATATGACAAGGAACCTGGCCTTAAGTGCCTTATTCAACATTAACCTGGGGTTGAGCCGGTTGAGCCTCTCTGGGAACGTGAGCTAGGCCATCTTACACAAACGGCGGAATATAAAATACTCTGCAGTTTTACCCATCCTTTTTTTTTTTAGAGAGATAACAGCAAAAAGACCATGACAGAAAGGTTTTAGCAGGCATGCCAGAGGGCTAAGGTGTGCCAGCTAAGGGCAGATGCCTGCAGGGGCTCCATAGTCTGGACGCACTGCTCAGCTCACGTAACCGGCGCCAAGAGTTTCTGCAGAAAATCGAGCTGCCTCCAGGATTTAGAGCTCAGAATGCAAGGACAGAACAGGGTCGGACGTCTGTGGCAGGATTTGTGTTTCAAATTGTGTGCATCAGCGTGAAATTCAGTGCTGCGCTGAACGATGTATCCCACAGGCAATGAACAGTATACAAAACTACACACAGCACTTGTCTCTAGACTTCGGTGTCTTACCCTTACCTAGTAGTTTCTAGCAGGCATGGTTAGCATGGTTAGCTAGTGTCCATACTAGACACTCCAATAAAATACATGCTCTATTGTAAAGGTGTGAACCTAGCTTTGAAAAAAAAAACGCCTCAGAGGTCAGAAAAGCACTACAGAAGAAAAGGACAATTTTAAAAAGCAGAACTTTGATCCAACAGAACACATAACATATTTCATCAATAGAATTTGAGAGGAGTTATTTTATGTGCTCTATTGAGGGAAAAATAAAGATAAACATGGCCTTATGAATAATTTCCATATAAATGGTGCGGCAAACGAGAATGAACCATGACCCCAAAACCCCAGTGATAACGAAATGCGATCATAAAGCCAGCCCCAGAAACCCATCAGGCCAGAGTCCATCACCGTTTCTGCAAAATGAATCATAAAACGAATCCACCACGTTTAGGGTGAAACACCAGTCTTAACATTTTTCCCTTTCGTTATAAATAATGTGTTAAAATACCGCCCTGTCTCAAACTGTCCTGGCAAAATACGAGTCACACTGGCACCCAGATGGGTGGTCAGAGGGTTCCCTTGTTTTAATCAGATGGTTACCTCCTGAAAACAGTACTGTACACCATTATATAGTATTTACAGTATTTATACAGCTGAGTGAACTACAAGTTCAAGTGCAAAGTAATTTTCTCATGGAAATGACAGCAGTGCCTACGGATAGGAAATAAACCCACAGTCATTCGTGACGGTGCAAGTAGAATGTAGCAATATATAAATAAAGAAGAGCATTATATGTCCATATAATATATCTTCATCCATTTACCAACAGAGTTGCAGGTGAGCTCTTATATCTGGCACACGGCAAGGTACACCCTGGACACAGGGCACACACACTCATACCAATTGTCCCGAAGCCAATTAACCTACCAGCATGTCTTTGAACTGTGGGAGGAAACTGAAGAACCCAGAGGAAACCCACATGAACACAGGGAGAACATACAAACTCCACACAGACAGCACCCAAGGTCCGGAATAAATCCCAGGTCCCCAGCACTGCTGACCCCTGTGCCACCACGCCACTTACTATATAATACAGTAGGTAATGCAAAGTATTTCTTTGAATTGTAAATTTGATATAAAATATATGATAGTATAGTACTGTAGCTGTATAGGTTTGGCATAAATCTTCTGAATAATCTTAGAAGGTTTCACACGCGCATAACTGTTGTATTCTTTCAGAACATGAGGCCCCATTAAGCTGCTCCCTGTAAGCAGCTTTTCTCACTCGGCACAATAGCCCATTTCCATGGGAAAAGTGTCAAAGAGACATTCAATGGGAAAACGCTCAATAATAGCCTGTACAAGGCACAAAACTTTCTGTACACATTCTTGACGGGATATTTATATAGAATAACCTCTGAAAGAGCTGGCCCTGGTGAAGGGTGCACCTTTTAACACATAAAACCGTTTGTTAAGTTGTGCTTAAAATTGCAACAAGCAAAAACTCCCAATTCAAGTAAAAGTTTATGATGTCCATGACAGTAAGTAACACACAAGTGCAATTCTGCTTGATTACATTTAGAGCAGCAATTTCTCCTGAACAGAAATTTAGCCACAGCACAGTATGTGGCCCAGCCTTCAAGGGAATCAGTTATGCAGTGACATTTAAAATGGCAAAAGGGAATTAGCAGCCTTTTTGTATATTTAATGAAATTTGCATTTCAGGTTGGATTAAGCGGCCAGACCACAGAATCTGAGGCGTTTGTGATGGTGGCACTGACGTGGCTTCACAGCCCATTGGCATTTATTTTTTTTTAAATTGAAATTTGATAAAGGTGCCAAACCTGTTTAGCCACATTGCTGTCCTTGCCAGAGGTATCAAATGATTAGATCATAAGCATGAACAACCATAAACAGAAAAAGCCAAGTGCACCAACTGTAAACACTTTCCTAAAGCACAACAATTTACGTTTTGATAAGATTACACTTTACTAAAAATCACATCTATTGTATTTAATTCCGATAGTAAACATTGGATATTCAAAGAGTGGTCTTATTATAGCAGAATATTTTTTAAGAACAGTTTTCAAAGGCTTGCAGACTTCAGTACAATAACTGTAGTGAGTGCACTGTGGTTTGTAGTCTCCAAATAATTCTCAAGAATCGTATCATGACGGCAGAGCTGCTGGCAATCCAGGCTCAGTGATCAGCCAGGATAAAGCCTCTGATCTAAGAGACTCTTCAGCTGCTAATGGTTATATGCAATGGAGATCTAACTGGGTAATTGATCAGCCTGAGTGATCAAGGCATGTCTTCTCTCACTGGCAGGTCAATTAATCAATCAGAGTACCTGAGAACAGCACACATCAGCCATGCAAATGGATAAATTTGCATTCATATTTTTAGTTCACTATAAAGATTAACATGTTTTTCTGATAGCATCTTGCCTGTTTATCCCTTCATATAGTTTGGTGTTCAATTTACTTTATATTTAATTTTTTCTAAATATTTTCCATTATTCGTGTACTGTATCTAGTTCCAAATTTGTAATTCCTATTATGTGGTAAGCATACTGAGATTTAACATTTGGGCTGCAACACCCAGCACTACAGACCTGGGTAAAGGATGGTTCCTAGAGATGGTGATAAAGTAACTTCACGAGTCAAAGACACCTCGGTTGCACAGCAAAGATCAAAGCAAAGGCATGCAAAAAAAACAAAATACAGGGTCCAGAGCTTGACTTGTTCTTTTGAAGAAACAAAGTTAATTCAGAGTTCTATCTTCTCAATTTGTTAATATGTGGAAAATATCAAGCAGCACGCATTCATTTCAGAAACATGCTTCAAAATAAAAGTGGAAAACATAATTGCCGTTCAATTATATAAATAGCAGAGAACAGAAGACACACTCCATGAGAGTAGTTTCGAGAGGAGTTAACCACATGCAGAAAAACAAACTGTCCCTTTCACTGGTTTTGTAATTTTTATTGGTTTTAATCAGCAAGTAGTTTTTCATAGCTTTATCTGAAGTAGAATGATTTTTTACCAGTAACACTAGCAACACTTTAAGAGATAGTGTTGCCACCTTGAAGCCTGATCTCAGAAGTTATGCATGTTATACACACAACCTACTCCAAATATTCAAAGACAAATATATAGCAGGTTGCATGTGGTTAGCATTGCTGACTCACAGCACTGGAACCCTGGTTTCAACTCTGGACCTGGCGTGCTGTCTGTGTGGAGTTTTTATGTTTGTGTCGGTTTCCATTGGGTGCTTCTGTTTCCTCCCACAGTCCAGAAACATGCAGGTACTGTAGGTTAATTGGCTTCTGATAAACCAGTCCTGGACTGAGTGTGTGTGTTTGTGTCTGTCTTCCATGCGATGGACTGGCGTCCTGTCCAGGGTGTACCCTGCCTTGTGCGTGTTGCTTGGTTCCCCAGAGACCCTGAATTGGATGAAGTATGAAATAAACAAAGCATGGATGGATGAAAGTAAAAAAGGAAAAATCACTGCTGCGTAAGTATTCAAACCCTTTGCAGAGGCAAACAAATTAATTCAGGTGTACGAAATCACTTTAACCTTAGTTTAGAGGCCTCTGTGTGCTATAATAGATAGAGGATCACATTATTACAGAAGAAATACATTTGTCTGGGTAAGGTCCTTCAGTCAGGTAGTGAATCTCAAGCAAGGATTCAACAATGAAAACCAAGCAGCTATCAAAAAAACTCAAAGAGACATAGCTACAGAAAGTCACAGACCAGGAGAGGGGTACAAAACTATTTCGAAGATCCCTAATGTGTTTTTGGAGCCTGGTGAAGACAGTC